TACATCAAACCGGCAAGGGATGGAAGGGAAGGCAGATGTAAGCACATTTACCGTTCAGAATCGGAATTTAATAATCTCTTGCCATTAAAGGGGAAAATTTCGGATTTGCCACTGAGTTTTTCAAAATGCCAAAAATGCCCCTCGACCTTGCACTTCCTCAGGGGCAATCCTGTCTAAGGAGCCGTTGGCCGTTGGCTGGCAAATGAATCTGGACACGGCTGAGCGCAAGGATCAGTCTGTGTCTGTTGGCTCAAAAGGAGGAGGTACAAGACAAAAGTACCTGGTCACACCAACGAGTGAATTCGGAGGGAAGAGGATGATCGAGTGTCCTTTAGCGGCGCGCTAACGCCTCAGATGTAGTTGCCCAGGAGCAAGGAATGGACACATCTTGACTCGTTTTAGACATGGTGATGTTCTCTTTAAGTACTGTCCTGTTCATGAAGAACACGAGGATCATTTTTCCCGACCTTGTCGCACGACACAACCAATGAACGGGCCATCCGAAAAGATACGTAGAGGTTGGACAAGTGGGCAGGATATTTTTTTGTTGTTTAAATTTTCAGCTGCAGAAAACACAGTAGCGAAATGGACTGGCGAACCACCGCTGGACGAGACCAAACACCACTGTTACTCACGCGATTGTAGCTCATGAAGAACATTGAAATCAGTATGAAAGGACCACATACAAACTCAGCAGGGGTGCTGGTGTCTCAGTCAGACTGCTGCAAGCTCAATGAACCAGGACCAGATCCACCTGTTTTTCTAAGGCCAGCTTGGATACTATACCCATAAGGTCAAGGAACAGTGGCGAGAGATTGAGGCATGACATTGTACTCAACATCTCTGCAGACTGGGCATAGTGTGCATGGCAACCCAACGCTGTACTCCACACTGAACAGTTTTTGGGATACTATGTACACAGTATTCGACGGGTTACTCGGGGGCCTGGACACAACACTGGACTATTCTGGCAGTCCCAGGAACGTGAGCGCCAGAAACAGTGGAACTAGAGAAAAATGACAGACTCAATACAGACTTAACATACTCAAAGAAGACATAGCGGACTCATCACTCTGGAAATTCAGCGTTGGACTCAACGGATGCGGTGAAGTACTGGATGCGGACCCGGTAGAAACCAGACTCGGACTCAGCAAACGGTAGACTCAAGATCGAGTCTACAGCAATCAGCAGACTTAAGACAGCAGTTGCAGCCGATCTCTGATACAGAAAGCTGCAATTGCAACAAATCTAAGTTGAATGATCCACCATCGCTGAGGCTTATCAGAGCTTGAGATCTAGTATCCTGCGGACTCGGAACAGTGAGAAACTTCAGTGGCAAAAGAATTTTAACACAACAAACACTAGGTTTCAGGTACGGTAGAGTCAAGACGGACTTTGAGACCTATTGTTGCATACTGTAACGGTGCAGACCAGAACAAGAACCGACCTCTCAATGCAAAGTACAAGATAGCACAGCGGAAGACTTAGATACCAATGATCCGAACAATCAATATTGCAATGCAGCCCTGAACATACATCATCATCATCGTTACATGGCGTGAATGGGGTCTGGCGCTTCACACAGGAAGACTGC